CTAGGACCAAAGGCGCCTGCCACAACGCCTGGCTCTTTTTTGGTTGCAGCCGTCATTGTTGTTTGGCGGGCCCAGGCTGGATTCGAAACTGCCACCTTGGGTGTACGTGGCTGGTGTCTTAGCCACTTGAGCCACAGGCGACGAGCCATGAGAAGAAAATGTTAACAGCATCATATGCTTGATCATTCCATCTACCAAGGCAGATACAGCTTACTTTGCCCTTTAGTAGTGGCACACATGTGGCCACAGAGCATGTTATGCTAACTTGTAATCTATGAGAAATCCTATGAAGGATATATTATGAAAGATATTTCAGAACAACTTAGTCATATCTTCTCTCAGTGTGTAATAAAGAGTACCCACTGCTGAATCTATCTGATAGTCTGGTATGTTATCCCATCTTTTATTTCCCCTTGAGACAAGAGTCTTAAGTTGTCGCCCTGGGTAGAGTGCTGGGGCATCATACCCTATGGCAACCCCCAACTCTTGGGTTCAAGTGATCCTCTTGCCTCAGTTTTTCTATTTTTAGTAGAGATGGGGAATCTTGCTTTTGCTCAGGCTGGTCTCAAACTCTTGAGTTCAAGTAATCCACCTGCCTTGGCCTCCCAGAATGCTAGGATTACAGGTACGAGCCACTGTGCCCAGTCATCTCACCATAATCTTAAAAAACATGTCCTTTGGAGAGTAAAGCTAGAAGAATTTGGTTTTATGAATAAAAAGATAACTTAAATTCAAAGATGCCATATTCCCCAACCCCCAAAGTATATCATACCCCAAAGTATGACATTACTGATGAGATTTAATAATTATTTCTCAAGTAAATATATACAAAATAATGCATATTAGTTTGCTTTTTTGCACATTAGTTTTATCTAGATCTAACTTTTCATTAATTAGTAATGGAAATTAAATGATATAGGATTATAATTGTTTTGTGGATTTCTTCCTATAGATTATTCATTGCCAGTTATCTATATAAAACTGTTTGTAGGCTTGGAGCCTATAGCTTAAGCGGCTAAGGCACCAGCCACGTATACTAGAGTTGGCGGATTCTAATCCAGCCTGGGCCTGCCAAACAATAATGACAACTATAACCAAAAAATATCCAGGCATTGTGGCAGGCACCTGTAGTCCTAGCTACTTGGGAGGCTAAGGCAAGAGAATCGCTTAAGCCCAAGAGTTGGACGTTGCTGTGAGCTATGACGCCATGGCACTCTACCCAGGGCAACAGCTTGAGGCTATCTCAAATAAATAATAATAAAATAAAATAAATAAAACTGTTTGCAGTTTGTTATTAAGTCTCAATCATTAAGGGGATACAGATGGATACACTCACACATTCTTTTGGGGTCAAGCCTGATACCACCATGGATATTCTTTTGTTGACACTTTCTTCTACTGAAGATGTCAATTCTGGCTTCTCATTGCTCAGACTTTCTTCCCTCATAGTCTTAGTGTTGTGAGTAGTGGCTGGACTCCCGCCAGAATCTGTTTGATACCGGGATGATTTTAATGCAGAAGCTGAAGCTGATGTGCTACAAACTTGAGCTGACTCTGGGGCTCTGTCTTCTAAAGGATCAGATTCAGGATTACCAGAGAGGAGGTAGATTCTAGATTCCAGGTTAGGAGTTGCTTCTAAAAGGAATGAGAGAAGTAGTTTAATCTCATAATACCAATTTTTTTTTTTTTTTGGAGACAGAGTCTCATTTTATTGCCTGTGGTAGAGTGCCAGGGCGTCATAGCTCACAACAACCTCAAATTCTTGGGCTCAAGCCATTCTCTTGCCTTAGCCCCCCAAGTAGTTAGGTGTTGCCCGCCACAACACCAGGCTATTTTTCAAGACAAGGTCTTGCTCTAGCTGAGGCTGGTCTCAAACCTGTGAGTTTGGGCAGTCCACCTGCTTCAGCTTCCCAAAGTGCTAGGATTACAGGCATGAGCCACCTCACCCTGCCTCAATCTTTTCTTTTTTGTTTTACTCTGAGAACCTAATTACATGGAATTTTGAATTACAATGTTCTAGTCTCTGCAAAGAATCAAAAAAACCTTCTGTGAAGTGGAAGTATATTTCAAAAATAATAATACGCTTGGCGCCTGTAGCTTAAGCAGCGTAGGTGCCAGCCACATGCACCAAAGCTGGTGGGTTGGAATCCAGCCCAGGTCTGCCAAACAACAACTACAACCAAAAAAATAGCTGGGTATTGTTGTGGGTGCCTGTAGTCCCAGCTACTTGGGATGCTGAGGCAACAGAATCGCTTAAGCCCAGGAGCTGGAGGTTGCTATGAGCTGTTATGTCATGGCATTCTACCCAGGGTGACAGCTTGAGGCTGTCTCAAATAAAAATAAAAATAAAATAAAACAATAATAATGATCAAAAAGACAAATGAAGTTAGGTTAAGAGAAAAATGGATACACTAGTACAATTTTGGTAGAAGTGCAAAGTGGCCTAATTTTTCTTAAAAAAAAAAAAAAAAGTACACATATTATATAGCAAAAGCCTTAACACATGTTTACATGTTCAGTCAAAAATTCTAGAATTTTTTTTTTTTTTGAGACAGAGCCTCAAGCTGTTGCCCTGGGTGGAGTTCTGTGGCATCACAGCTCACAGCAAACTCCAACTCTTGGGCTCAAGTGATTCTCCTGCTTCTGTCTCCCAAGTAGCTGGGACTACAGGCACCT